CCGTGCGCGGCCTGCGCAGCGGCCCCGCGCTCGGAGGCTCCGGCGCGAGGCGGGTCCTCTCCGGCGCCGCCGCGGGAGAGGCTGCGTGACCCCCTGCTCTGGGGCCGCAGTGACTCCCTGACTCCGCTGCCTTGCGGAGAAGGGTCCGTGCTCTGAGCCGCTCCCTGTGCCCCGAAACGGGATGTCCCGAGGCTGCGGCGGGAGGGTATTGGTGCCAGGCGGGTTGGAGCTCCCCAGCCCGGCTGCCTCCTCTGTATGGGAGGCAAGAAGGGTGTCTCGGAGCGTCCCCGTTCCCCGGCTGCACCGCCACTCCGCGCCGAGCGGGTGCCAGCACGCGGACACCACCACGCTTTCCATCACACCTTTATTAGAGCCGCCGCGAGCTGCAGCCGCTGCCCCTCGGCGAGGCAGGGTGGCTGTGTGGGACCCGCCTGCGGGTACCAGGAGTTGCCACAGGCCACCGCGAGCACTGGTGCCCTGGGCACCTGGCGCCGGCCGCCCCCGACTCCACGGCCCCTCACGCGCCGTCTGGCTCCGACGCGTCCTCACTTGTAGCAGGTCTGGGCTGATTCAGCGTCGCCATTTCTTCCTCCTTTCTCTTCCGACGCTGCTTCCGGTAGCGACTTGGGGAGGGGGGGAATAAATTAAAAGTAATACTTAATAATAAACCCCCGACAGGCTCCAGTGTGAACCGCGTGGCTCACGGCGAAAGGCGCGCGGCACCCACTGGCGGCAGAGGCAAGCGCAGACGATGAGGACGACAAGGGCGGCACCGGCCGCGATGAGGGAGATGATGATGATCTGGCCGCGGTCGCCTCGCAGGTAGAAGAGGTCGACACGCTCGCAGCGGGCGCCCGTGTAGCCCTGCTCGCACCTGCCGGGAGCGCGGCGGGCAGGAGCGCGTGGGGTGCCCCACGCCTGGAGCCCCCCGCCCCAAGCGGCATTGGCCCGCAGCTCGCCTCGCTCACACACACGCCGGCGCCTGCTCGGCCACCACGAAGCGGCACCGTCCCCGCACGCAGTAGTGCCGGTACTCGTCCGGGCAGCGGGAGAAGTGGCTGCGCCGCCGCGGTGCCGCCGCGCCACCTGCAACACGCGGGCCGTAAGCACCGGGCATCACCCCAGCACCACAGCATTGCCTGCCGGCCCTTTCCCCCCTGCAGGGGTTTTTCCCTTTCTCTGGCTCCTTCTGGGAGCCGCCGCGGGGGACGCCGCATTTTCCCTAGACAAAATAGCCTTGGACTTCTCCGTGTTCTCCCCCGCAGGGCTTATATCCAGGAGATGAGCAGCCCTGCGCTGGGCAAGGGAGCTACATAAATAACACCTGGCAGGAGGCCTGGCTTGGGAGGCAGGCAGCGGAGCGCCCTGCGAGTGCCCGGCTCGGGTTGCCGGGGCAGGCGTGTGCAGGAGCGCAGGGAGCCGGGCTGGGGCCGGGGGCACCCGGCGGGGACGGCAGCCTGGGCAGCGCAGCAAGGGGCGCAGTGTAGCAGTTCCGCTGTGGGACCAGGGCCGCTCCACGCTACCTGTGCAGTTGCCCGCGGGGCTGCAGGACAGGCCACCGGCCGTCGCGTTGGCGTCAGCACCCACGCTGTCGCAGAGCGCCAGCCCTGCAACACAGACGAGAGGGGTGAGCCCCTCGGCGCCCAGCATCGCTCCTGCCCGGAGCAGCGCCGGGCACGCGGCGGAGCTGCTGCTCCCCCCTGTCTATCCCAAGGCCAGGTAAAGGCCTTGGGGAGCACGGCTGGAAGCACTTGGCCTCCAACATCCCCTGCGGGACCCAGCAGCCGCTGGCAGTGCCGCTGGGCGTGAGGATGACTTCACCCGCCGTGCAGCTCCGCTCGGAAACAGACGCACCAGGGAGACTTTCCGCCCTTGATTGGAAACAGATGCTGCCAGCGCTGAGCCCTCCACAGGCGTTCGTGGGGCGGAGGCGACAAGCAAGCGGGGCGCAGGGCGTCTCCCACCACGCGGGGCGCAGAGGTGCCCCCGCCCGCTGCGCGGGCACCCACGGGTGCATGGCCCGAAACCAGCCCGGCAGGTGCCTCCCTGGCCGCGCGGGTCGGGCAGGTTCTGCCGCGGGCTCCCAGCTCCGCCTGGGAGCGGGAGGCTTCGTGACAAGCTGCCCGCAGCTCTGGGGGGCGGCATTCGGGACAGCTCTGCGTTTACCCCTGCATGCCAGCCAAGCCGAGCACCCTCTTAAGAGACGGGTAGTGGGATTTAAGGACAGCAGTTTCGTTCCTCTGCTTGTGTGCCGAAGCAGCCTGGATTTGGCAGGGTTGGGGGCTGCGGAAAGGCTCTGTTCCTGGAGCAGGGAGCTGCCAGGTTTCCCTGGCCCGGGGACAGTGGGAAGGGGCACGGCCGCTCAGCGCCCAGCTCCGTCCGTGCTCCTGCCCCTTCCCGCTTTGCACACGAGTGAGCCCAGTCCCACTGCCCACCCCGGAGAGCACCGCAGAGACCCTGGGCACAGCCCCCAGGGACATCCCAGCCTGGGCTGCCCCAGGGCTGGGAGCGTCACTGAGGCTGTTCCCTACCCTGTGCCTCCCGAGTAGAATGGCACAGACCAGGGAGGAGGGGAACGGGGGAAGATCGGGGAGAACAGGGGCATCGCAGCAGGGGATGGTCAGGTGCAAGGTCAGGGTGGGAAAGGGGAGGTCCCCAGGACAGCACAGGGTAGGCTGGGGCTGGAAGAGAGGGATGGCAGGACGGGTCGGGAGGAAGGTCAGGCCAGCAACAAGGGACATCCCCAGGGTGGCACAGGAGGAGGCTCAGGGTGGAACAGGGGGATGGCAGCACGGGACGGCAGGAAGGTTGAATGGCACAGGGGAATCCGCACGGTGGCACAAGGGGAGGCTCAGAGAGGTGCGGAAGGCTGGGACAGGGACAGGGGACGGCAGCTCGGTGGGGCGGCACAGGGGAGGCAGG